TTTCCATATACTTTACAATAATACAAGTCTTGTCTTGTATAGTTTCATGAGTGCTAGAAAGGTCTTCTGACAATGAAGTCTCCCCATAGTTTACATTTAGGATTACTCTCTACTATGAATTCTTCCAAGTCTAAGATATGAAGTGTGAGAAGTGGACAATTTAGAGGTTTTTCCATAATGCTTATACAAATAGGTTTAGTCTCCTTTCTGCCTTTTTAATGGTTTAGGACAACAGAAAGCTTTCCCACGTTACTTAACTCATATGGTTTCTCTCCATTGTGCAACTTTTTATGTCTTCGAAAACTTCTTTCCCAATGGAAAGCTTTTCCACATTGCTTACACTCATATGATTTCTCTACACTGTGAACTTCTTTATGTTGTCGAAAACTACTTTCCCAAAGAAAGGCTTTCCCACATTGCTTACATTTATATGGTTTTTCTCCACTATGAATTTTTTTATGTCTTCGAAAATTACTTTCCCAAAGGAAGGCTTTCCCACACTGTTTACACTCATATGGTTTTTCTCCACTGTAAGTCCCTTCATGTCTTTGAAACTGAGTCACAGGTAAGAAGACATTTCCACAGTGTTTTTGTACATACGGTGTCTCTCCAGCGTGAGTCCGTTCATGTAACTGAATGTATGAGGAAGAACTAAAGGCTTTCCCACATTGCTTACATACATATGGTTTTTCTCCACCATGAACCATTTCATGGTATCGAAGGGAACTGCAATGAGTATAGGTTTTCCCACACTGCTTACATACATAGGGTTTTTCACCACTGTGAACTATTTCATGGTATCGGAGGGAACTAGAATGAGTGAAGGCTTTCCCACATTGCTTACATACACATGGTTTCTCTCCAGTATGAATTTTCTTATGGCTTTGAAGGGCATTGTAAGAAACAAAAACTTTCTGACACTGCATACACATATACGGCTTCTCTCCAGTGTGAATCCTTTCGTGTCGTCGAAAGGTACCAGAACAAATAAAAGCTTTGCCACACTGGTTACATACATAGGGCTTCTCTCCACGGTGAAACCATTCATGATATCGAAGGGAACTATGATCAGTGAAGGCTTTCCCACATTGCTCACACACATAAGGTTTCTCTCCAGTATGAATTCTTTCATGCCTTTGAAGGGAACTAAAACGACCAAAGGCTTTCCCACAATGGTTACAGAGGTAGGGTTTCTCTCCAGTGTGAATTCTTTCATGTATTTGAAGGGAACTGGAACTTGCGTAGGTTTTCCCACATTGTTTACATACATGGCATTTCTTTCCACTCTGAATTTGTTCACGTTTTTGAAGAGAAGTGGAATGAGTAAAGCTATTCACAACTTGCTTACATTCATAAGATTTCTCTCCAGTTTCAGTCTTTTCAAGTTTCTGAAAGGCTCGGGCTTTCTCATTTTGCCTATGTTTGTAAGGCTTCTCTCCACATCCCTGATTTTCATTAGGTTTGCATACAGTGTGAGCTCCGAATGGCACATTTAGGGAAGAACGATTAATGAGGGCCTCTCCACATAAATAGTTTTCACAAGGTGATACTCCAATGGAAGTTTTCTTCTTTACAACACACTCTGGTGTCTGGTTGAAGGTTTCTCCACATTGACTACCTTCTTTATATTCACAGAGTTTGTCTACAACTTGAGTTCTGTTTAAAAAAAAAACAGAGAGAGAGACAAGTACATTAATAAGATTTTGTTTATTCGTAATTTACTATAAGTGTTGGTTTTAGGCCCTGTGACAATTTTTTAACATGAGTGAAATGAATGCTCTGCAAAATGACTCAAGGGCAGTTACTGTCAAAACAGTGGTATTCATGTGGGTTTTTATTTTTTGGTACCAGAGATTGAACTCGGGACCTTGTACTTGTGAGGCAGGCAGCGAAACCACTGAGCTAAATCCCCAGCCCCTTATGTGGGTTTTTAAAATTCTGTAACCATGTTAGGTATTTGGTAAACACTGAAATATCAGTCTTAAATACATTTGGGTATTCCTGATGTTAAATGCCAGGAACCAAAATCATGTTTGATTTTGAAATACTTGCACATCTATAATATTATCTTGAATATGGGTGTGAGTGTAAATACAAAATTCATTTTTGTTTCATATATACCTTATACATAAACCCTGAGTCATAACATGTAACATTTAAAATTTTGTACATTAAACAAAATTTGTAAATATTCAACCATCATAAAAAGAGGTGCACAAAACTGGAACATATCAGTTTTTCCAAATATAACGTTTACCCTGTATGTAGTTCTTGACAAAATTTTCAGGGACTAAACCAATTTGAGGCCAGGTTTATTTCTATCATTTGCTTGTTGATGGTGGCTTTTAGCCAGCTCCACTTTGAGAATCAAGAGTAAAAGGCACAGCTGAATGATTGTAAGAGGTTTCAGTATGGCCAGGAGGGAAGCACCAGTAAAGTTGGAGACTGCAAAGATGGAGCAGAGCAGAGCTTGCAGAAGTAAGAGTGAAAAATTGAAAGACTTTTCTATGGGGAGAGAGTCCCTGGGCACGATGCTCCAGAATAGCTACAGCCTAAGTAATGGTAACTGATTTTTCAGCATTCACTATGCTGTGCTTAGCCATCCAGGCACTCAAAGGTCTTTGCAACTACCAGCAATATACAAAATGGCTAAACTACTTCTCAAACTTGTCAGATCTTGACATCATCTGAGAGCTGCTGGTTTTACACCCATGCAGAATGCAAAAGTTGTGGGCTCAGAGGCTTCCACCCAGATTTCAGAAGGCCAGTAAAGATAGGCATCATGCCCCTGAGAGGGCAGTATGTTAAGCTGTGAGAGTGAAGCCAGAAGTGCAGGAATGTTGGAAAAGGCAAGAATGT